CGGGGCCCTCACTTGTATCGGAAGGGATGCACGGAAGTGGCCTTTGATCCGTCCCGCGGGATTTGTCGGCGTTCCGTCCCGCGGTCTGCCGGGGCTCCGCTTCCGGCCCCCCGCCGTCACCTTGTCACCCTGTCATCCTGTCATCGTGCCGATGTCCTCTTATAGGTACTCGGGATACAAGGTGTTCTGAAGACATTGGCACGATGACAGGATGACAGGGTGACAGAGCCTCACAGAACTAGTTCTCTCTCTAGGGAGGGTAGACCCAGCTCCCCACACACGCCGCCCAGGTAGCACAGGAAGACGTCGACGATTTCGGCTTGGGCCACGCGGCTGCGCAGGTGCGGCACGACCAGGAGGGTGGTGCGCAGGTCGGCAACGTAGAATGGATGACGACCTTTTCCAGGTATTTTCAGTTGTGTGACATTTTGACACAGGACAGGGCACATATCCAGGACTGTGCGAACATCATGCGCAGCATTCTGTGAGCATCTTTTCCGCTCACCAACCTGGTCACGTCGATCAAGGAGACTTTCTTGTCCCGGCCATCGCCCGTCACTCTCTCTAGGGAGGGTAGACCCAGCTCCCCACACGCAGCACTTGCAGGGGCTATTTGCACCCTTTGCTCAGAATTCTGTACTTCAGAGCCTCCCAATAGTGGACTCTGTCGCCAGCAGGCAGCGCTGTTGTAAGGGCTCAGAAGAGCTTGCAATTCCGGACTCCGAGACACTCCGAGCGACTCCGAGCTACTCCTAGCACTCCGAGCTACTCCGAGTGGGGGCCCAAGAACTCCGAGCTACTCAGACCCAATCCGAGCTACTCCGAGTTACACTTGCTCAGAGCGCTGCTTAGAGCTTTTGGAGCTCTCAAAGCCACACCAAGCTCTCCGAGTGGAGGGCACCCAAGCACTCTGAGCTACTTCGCAGGCCTCCGAGCTACTCCTAGCTACTCCGAGCACTCCGAACTGCTCTAAGTCGATTTTTTGGTATCATTGGTCTGGGAAACCCCAGAATGATGATACTCCCCAGTTGAGTTCCGAACACTCCGAGCTACTCCTAGCTACTCCGAGCACTCCGAGCTTACTCCCAGCTACTCCGAGAGCACTCCGAGCTGCTTCTAGTCGATATTTTGGGAGTATCAAGCTTCCTAGAAATTCAGGAAGTTTGATACTCCCTTTTTTTTGAACTCCGAGCCGGGGCGCCCAAGCACTCCGAGCTACCAACAGCCCAGAGCCTGCCATCTCCGGAATTGCAAGCTCTTCTGAGCCCCTACAATAGTGCTGCCTGTGGGCGCCAGGGACCAACATTGGCACACTCCAAAGTGAAGAATTCTGAGCTATGGCCGCAGATAGCCCCTGCAAGAGCTGTGTGTGGGGAGCTGGGTCTACCCTCCCTAGACAGAGCAAGATTGCTTAACCCGACCATTAGCGCAGTGGACTGCCCCCCCACCTTTCCCTTTGCTTTTTTTCGGCCTTGTCGAATGTACTTTACCGCAGACGTTTGAGTCACAGCGAAAAGTGGCAAGCCTGTATGAATCGTCGACTCCGTAAGCGGCATTCATTTTAACCGAAACAGCAACTTTCAGTTTCGCTCCGATTTCTTGCTGGAACCCTTGCCCCAGGTTCCATTACGTAAAATTATCTCGCATAATTTCGGAAGGGGGCCTTAGGGGTCCCGCGCAACTAAATCCAGCAACATTTGGAAGAATTGCCTGCCATCTTACCCGAAGAACCGTGACGTGTCCGCTACAAGCGGCCTCCACAGTCGCAAAAAAAACACTTACACAAACTTCTGTTCAAATAACACATTTGTGATTGTAAAGATTTGCATATTTTGGCTCCTAGCGTTTTGTCACTTGCAAAAACCCCATGTATTGGATGGTGGTCCCCACCGCTCCTAAACATTTGTAGGTCTGTGTTCACGTCCCCTACTGGCGAAAATCACATCAACCATAGATAGGCAGGAACACGCTGTTTGAAAGCCCGGATGCTTCGCAGCTGTTGGCCCGAATAGCAATGCAGTTTCTTTGCGTGTTTTGGTGGCTCGAAATTGCTGTGGTCTTTTTGCCTACGAGTCTGCAAGCAACGACCGTCACGAGCTTCATCGGCAAGGAAGTGCAGTCAACCAAGGTTTCATGAGCGAGACGGGAAATTTCGCCCATAACGACTTCATGCCGAGAGCCTGACATCTTCTGATACCTGATCGTCACTTCTTCGCCACTATCATCGCGGCGCAGTCGGCCGTACTCTTGGAAGACGAAATTGGGAATGGGAACTTGTCTCCAGTTTTTTTTCGGTGTGTGGAGCTGGTGGGTTGTGGGTCAGATGGGCACACTCTGGTGCAACCAGAAGCGTTCAGAACAGGCCCCCGAACGCCAAAGATCCAGCAATCTAGAAGGATCCGGTCCGTTCAGCCTCAATGAGGTCATGCAGCCTCTGGGCAAGGCTCGAACCGCTTGCGTGGAAGGTTTTGGAAGGATGGAAGTGGATGTAAGGTTCCGCTCTTCGTGCTTTGTAAGTCCTTTTCGGTGGGGTTGGTGCAGGTGGAGCGGGAAGTCTCGCATTGTGTTCTTTAAGGCCGAGTGCTTTCAAGCTCCGAGATGTCAACCTACGCTCCTTTAGTTTTCCAAGCTTGCAAGAGTGAGTCTTTGGCCCGTGTTGACGCGCTATCTTCCGAGCCTCACCAGGTGTTTAAAATTGGAAGTGTCGTCTGGTTGAAAAAGGGTAGGAGCGTAAAGCTTTGAGTGGTGGTACGTCGACACCAGGTGTCCATCCCGGTGAACTTTGTGGAGCAGGCCCTTCGGCTGTTTGATACGTAGTTGTTAGAAGTCTCGGATGTCGTCAGGCAGGAAATGTCAGAGGGTGTTGGCTCCGTTTTCTCGTCGCAGAGGTTTTATTGTTGTGCACAGATTTTCTTTGTGCGCATGTTTGGAAGGCTCAGCTAGGAAGGCAAGTTGTTTGCAGGATGTCGCAATCTGCAGTAGGCCTGCTTGGGTTTTCCGCGCCGGACAGTGTGAGCTTGTTGGCAGGTGACGGAGGAAGTCACGCGCATCATCGTGGCTAATGCCGAGGCACCCTGGCCACCTCTGAGCATGGGACCTACAGCCATGCAGAAAGGGTTTCCGGACAGCTTCCGCCCGAATCTTTCGCAGCAGGGCCAAGCCCTCGCCCAAGACCCGCCGACCTTCAAATACTCTGAAGCCGACCTCCCCCTTTTCAATGGGGCCAGAACCGTGCTTGCTCACTCTGAGCTCCAGTTCAGTTGCAAGGTTTTTCGAGGGGTTGTGCTTCATCGGACTCAGGGTCGTTGCGAAAGTACGAGATGAGTACTACTCGAAGCGCAGAAGAGATCATCAATGATTCGGTTCTGGCCTCCGGACGATCCAACCTGAAATCCTGTGAAGCTCCGAAGCTTGAGCAGAGACCACGCGAGCAGTGTTGCCGCCGGTGCCCCGCCAACTGACTGTGTCAGGGCATGGCTCCCCTTTTGTGGATGGTCCTGGCTCTCCTTGCTGCCCGAGCAACCTTCAACACGTGGTTTGTGCTGGGTCTTCACATAGCCTCTGGTGGGGCTGGGGAGCAGGGCAGCAGGCAAGCAGCTGCCTTCGGGCAATACAGGAAGCAAGGTAAGGAACCTACCCGCAACTGACCATCCCCCCAAATCATGAGCTGTCATGTGCTGCCATCTGTGGACGGGCCGAGACAATAGCTGTCTGCAGGTATGCATGTAGCAGAACGAATAAACGCACTTGTGAACACATGTACAATGCATGTATACTATATATACACACATACATATACAGCATACACGTATGTACATATACATATATATATATATACACATACATATGTATATACATATCTGTATATATATATACATATATGAATACTTCTAAGAATAGAATAAAAATAGAAAGAACCGACTACAACAGGACAGGTACATGTACGCCTTTACGCGGACAAGCAGGATTGATGTTCGCGTCAGACATAGACCCACATACTGTAAGCATATATCTGGGAGATAGACACATACACAGACATATCTGAATGCCATCAGAAACGAACACAGATAATGTCCGAGGGGGAGAAATAACAAGCGGCTAGATAGTAGTGAGACGATTCTATCGCAATCACCTCAGATGATGCTCAGAACACCGGGTAGTAACTAAGTAGTGCACCTAGATGTCTCGCTCAAATTTCATCCGGTTCAGTCGTTGCAAAGTCACGTCCCAGTAGGTTCTGAAGACTTCCTGTTGCTAGTGGTCTTAATGGTGATCATCATCGCCATGCGACATAGCAGCAGTTTGATCGTGGTGAGATGTTGAAGATAGTGATGATGGTCATGAGAACAGATGAAGAAGAAGAGTAACAATAACAATAATAACAATGATATGATGATGATGATGATGATGTTGATGTGAATTGTGATGATGATGATGATGACGATGATGATGCTGACGATGCTCTTTAACTCTGTCAGGTGCTGGCGCGGCAATGCGCCGAAGCCTGCATCCGCCAGGTTCCATGACAGACCTGCAAAAGGTCTAAGTTTTCGGGGCTTGCCACAGTAGGCTTGCTGGGGATTGTTGTGGCTTGAGGTGTGGGGTCACCGTTGCAATTCGGATGCCTTTGTATCGTCTTGGATTTTCAACTAATCGGAGTCGTACAGTGACTTTCGGAGTCTGTGACGGGCTCCGCCTGCCCATCCTAGAATCCTAGAGTTTAGACAGGAATACGGGAAAGTCGAAGGCTGCACAGGGCACTGGCTCCCAACATTCACAGGGTTACACGACGCTGCAAGTTTCGTCGGCCCCGGGAGGTGTTGTCTTCCTCCACGCCACTCGCTACGCTGGATCTGGACTGCAGTGCAGTATCGATGCCATCGCGCGTGAGCGTTGCAATGAGCTGTATGGGTGATACGCTCAAAAACCTGTCGGTATTCATGGCTCCATTCTTGCCACACCCCAGGCTAGGCTGCAGGATCTAGACTCCGGCTTCAAGCATCGCAAGCCGGGAGGAGAAGCGAACCAGCGTTGATGACGATCCAAAGACGCTCATGGAGGCCTTCTGTTTACGGAGATGCTGTTGCTATCAATCTAGCGGCTCTGACCATTTCGTTATAGCCATTGTCGTCGATATTCTTGCGTGTTTCCGTCTCATTCAGTCGGTATCAACCTGACGAACTTGCGTTTCTTGTTGCCTGCCTTCTGTTGCTACGTTCGCTGCTGCAGCTGCTGTGGTTGATTGGTTGCAGCTTTGTCTAACATCTCATGGAGAGAGCCTGGTTGTGACTACTCCTACTTGGGCTTCTGATGCATGCAGTGCTGTTGCTGATCCATGGGCCATGGGTGCAGGTCGATGTGCTGGCCCACCAGGCAGACCGGGATGGCATAGATTTTTCGGTTTCGGGTGAGACGTCGGTTCTGCCTCCCTTTAGCGTCGAGGCGTTGTAAGCTGCAGACCTTCGATTCTGGTTCTTCAAAGATCATGGATGTCATGGACCATGGAGAAGACCATGCCTAAAGTTGAGAAGCCTGAGCTTCAGCTTCCTCGTCGCCATCTCCATCGTCATCGCCATCATCACCGCCGGCCATCATCAGCATCAGCCTCATCATCCTCATCCTCATCCTCATCCTCATCCTCATCCTCATCCTCATCCTCATCCTCATCATCATCATCATCATCATCGTGAAAGTGCACACGCGGGAACGCGGCCACCTACGGAGAGTTCACCCAGCATTCGCACAATCTTCTTTGGGCTATCGTGATTGCACGCAGTACTTTGCTGCTAGGAGACGGAGGCCTGGCAGTCGCCTCAAGGCTCCGATCTCGGCAGCGATCTTCTCCAGGTGCGGTGCATTTGGCAGAGGGGTATCTCAGAGCCGCTGTGGGACCGTGGGGCCACTTTTTGAGATGGCCATTGGCGTTAAGCTCTGCATGCTCTCAGGAGCTGCTGCCCACGGGAAGCAAAGGTCGGGGCAAAGGACCCGCCGGGAGACGCCCGCCGCCAAAGGCCCAAGTGTCTTGTTCTGCTCCGACAATGAGAACACATGAAGCTCACGGGCAACCTGAAGGCAAAGGGAAAATAGAGTGCAAAAGCCGATCCTCGCTGCAGGATGTCGGCTTGTGACTGTATACTGTCGGTCGAAGTCTTTGGTGATCATCCCGCAAAGAAGTTGCACGAAAATGGCGCCCGTCGTGCGCAAACCGTCAAAGCCCTTGATTCCTAAGTCTCAGTGCTGAGTAGCGCAATCTCGAGCGGAATGGGCTCACCTTCTTTCTGCGTGTAGCTCCAGCTCTCGAGGCATGGGGATGTGCTATGATGTGCTACTGTTTACGGCCGTCAGGCTCCTGGCGCAAAGGCTTCCCCGCCGACGGCCCCGGACTCAGAAAGCTTTTGCTTCTGATGTGGAGCTATTCAGGGCCCATCACATTCCAGGTTTATTTGCTGCTTCATCCTGTTCCTTCGTCGATGCCACTGTCGGTTGATTTCAGTACTGCCATGCTCTTCATGGTTCTGCGATACGCATAGTTGTAGGGGAAGCCGCCTGCCTCTGCGTCATGACGTGCAGGTCCATGTAGGTTCCCCTTGCACCTTGGGATATTTGGAATCAGGTGTGTCGGCGTGACAGTGGCATGAGCGAGCTGCTGCAACGTGTTGCGGAAGAGGTGCATTCGGGAGGGAGGTCTTCCTGGCTCAGAGTCGTCTGCACTCCTATCAACGAGCTGCGTACGCTGACCTTATGCAGCATCGCAGTGTAGTATGAGCTGTTCACTCCCTTCCCAGGCAAAACCAAAGTTCTCGAACCTCAACTCCTAGGGCCTAGGATCCCTTTCTGAGAAATGTCAGGGGCGCCGGAAGGACCGCGAGGAGTCGAAGGCCTATGGGAAGAAACCTGGGGAAGGTTTGCTCCTCCTTTTTGGGTGCCTTGGTGCCGCTGGCGTACATGGATTTCCTGTCTTTCATGTTATCTTTCGAAGCTTGCTTGCGCGACGTGTCTTGGAACCCAGAGCCCTGAGCCCGAACCATGGCCATGAAGCTGAGCCAGCAGCGAGATAGTCAGTGCAAAGTCAGCATGGGGCTTTCAAGAGGCGCTCTGCTCTTTCGTTGTCGCTAGTGAAGAGAACTTGCCGGCACGCTGTCATCCTACGACACCATTTCAGATTGCTGGGTTGCTGGGTGCTCGGCTTGCAACGAGTCTAAGTCTTGGGGATCCGCGCTGTCACACGAGGCCACATGTGCCATTGCCCACCTCATCCAAGCAACGGCAGGAGATCGAGGACCTGGATCTCTCCCAGTACCTCGGTAGAAGTTCTTCAATCTCCAGCCGGGAGCGAGATCTCGAGAGCTTCACAGTCTCCCTTTGCAAAACGTTTTGCTCCGCTGTAGATCCAGAACCGGATATAATATTTCGTTCATAAAGTAATGGTTTGAATAGTGGCACAACTACCGAGGATTTCTCCGGACTGCCCGCGCAGCCGGACCATTTGCCAGCGCTGTGCCGCAAGTCTGCACGGGAGTTAGACCAGAATCAGAAGACTGCTCGGCAAACAGGTCTCTGCCAGCGCTGTCTGAACACGTCTACATCTGTGTTGGGGTTCTCAGCAGAAGAAAGATCATTGCCTGTACCTGAGTATGACTCAGTATGACGAAACCAGACACCGTGAGTGTTGGTTGCCACCTACATAAAGCAAGCAGACTCTGATAGAAAGATTGACCATCAAAGTAGTAGTCATCAAACACGAAGGCTTTAAGTACGGCATGATCAGGAGCAGGAGATTCCCTCGGAACACTTCGAGTCGCATCTCACGTCGCACTCCAGCGAGATCCTCCCCTGGCTTTACGTCGGTGGCTGCCCGGCGGAATGTGATACCATCTTGCATGCGAGCTGGATGGCCGACGAAGAGCAGCTAGGGAGCTTCATTTTTGCGGGACGGGGAGCTTCCTTTTGCCTGCTTCAGCTCCAAGGCAAGAGGAACCTGGACAACGAGAAGGTCAGAGACCCGGGAAGTTCGAAGAATCCGAAGCAGCAAGTGCTTGCAATCTGCTGGTAACTAACCGGATGCGCGGGTTCTGCGAATCCTTTTTTGGGCCTGGCCAGGAGCTCACGGTTCGAACGGGCATCACGCACGTCCTCAACCTGGCCCAGGAGGCACGGACCCGGCGCTCTTCGGGCCCTCTCTCCCTTGCGTGGCGTCAGGTCAACATCAAGGAAGACGTCTCGAAGCCCCTTGGTGCCAAAGTCTAAAGCCGGCAGCCTCGATCTGTCTGCACATTCTTTGCAGCTCCCTCTGTCCTTCCAAGGCTCGTGACCGCGTACAACGGCCAGCGTGGCCTGGTCTTCGTGTACAAGAAGCGACCTGGCCCGAAGATGTTGTTCAACTTGCGATCTTTGGCTTGTAAGCCCTGAACCCCCATGCCCTCGACATTACCAGCTCCATTGAAGTCCCTGAAATCCGAAGCTGTCAACCCTTCGTCCTCACTGCCCAGACCGCAAACCCTCGAATGCCCCATCTCAAAACCTCCTGTGAGCTACCCTCAGCCGCTTCCGCCCCGAACTGCCAGGATCGGCTTCGGGGACACCCCGGACCAGGACATCCTGGAAGAAATGGATGGCACCTTTGGTGGCAAGTTGCAATTTGCGGATAGCTTCATTGTTGTTGTTGTTGTTGCGCTGCAGCCGCCACGGTTCAGACGGTCGCGAGTTTAGCGGAGCTTCCGAACAGGCTGCGGGTA